AAGACACACCATTTCAGAGCCCTAAGATAAGAATTGACCATCACTGAATAAGGGTAAAGATATCTAGCAATGTTTTGTCACATCATTCATTTCATATTTTCTCATCAATGAGAAGATTTTGTCTATTGCGAACCATAAACTTTTAGTTTTAACACAATCTAATTAAGGGATTTATAAATCAGCCTGTCCTAGATAATTCACAGCATCTGGATATTTCAGAGTATAAGAAAGATGAGTTAAGAATTCATCGGTTATGTTTTCCTTTACCTCTTGAGAATTTGCTAACATAAATGGTAAAATCTTTTAGAATAGTGATGATAGATTCAACAATGCGTCGGCATTAAATTATGCCATTTTAACCGTGGGTGCAAGGATTTTGATTCCAAAGAAATCAAAGATTCTAATAATACATCTCTTGAAATGTAATCTTTAAATGCTCCATGCGACGACTGTCATAATATTACTTAGAGCAACTATTTATTTTTTAGTTATGGCACTTATTTTGTATGGTACTAGTTTTGTTATTTGGCATTAGTTTATATTTAGTTATGGTTAGCTATTATCATTAGATCAGAGTATCGTTTCTTTTTAGAGAGAAGCTGATATTTATGTGACATGAAAGTTGTCCATCCAAATATATTATCATCCTTTTAATGATATTTATTTAATTCCTTAAAAACAAAAAAAATATATGTATATATATATTTTTAAATGTAGAAATTAAATTTTCTTAATTTTACATTAACAATTTTCAATAATTGATTAATAATTTTTGTGTTAATTTTTAAATCTCTTATGATATCAAAACGCTTACTGGATATTTCGATTATACGTTTAACGAGAATCGTACGATGAAGAATATGCAGGAGCGTGAATAAAACTATCAGAAAAGTTCACGATTGCAGACCAAAGGTTAGGATAATTCTCCTTGGCTTCTAATCGGACAATCGACGATGCGGAGCGTACGATTGATTCAATAACGAGGAAATGTGTCTTATGATTTTGTATTTTATAAATTATTCGATCGTGTATTTATGTATATAAAAGAAGAAAAGAAGAAACAAGTAAAATATAACAAAATAAAATAAATACAAAATAAAAAACTCACCGTATAGGCGATAGTGTTGTTAGGTTGAGAAATGCGACCATGCTTTTTTTCCTGCGACGTAGAACCATCTTTGCTCTCATTATCAGAATCTGAAATATACATAAAAAAATAAATTATTATTATTATTATTATTATTATTATTATTATTATTATTATTATTATTATTATTATTATTATTATATTATTATTATTATTATTATTATTATTATTATTATTATTATTATTATTATTATTATTATTATTATTATTATTATTATTATTATTATTATTATTACTATTATTATTATCATCATTATTAATATTATTATTATCATTATCATCATCATCATCATTGTGTTATATTTTCGCACATGTTTGAAATAAATTACCTGAATGAAACTATTTAATATTTTCTTTTACAATAAACTTTTAATTTTTTCGTATAAAATAACAAAAAGAAAAAAAAAAATATATATATATATATATCAAGAAAAAACAAATTCTTTCTTTCGTATAGAATTATTAAAAATCATCGTTCATTTTAAAAGGAAAATTATTGTAGATATAATAAACGAGCAAACGTTTAAAATCAACAACACGTGATTTTCTGAGTGTTACTACTGATCTTGATAAACAATTGACGGTTGCTTTTAACGATCATCAATTCGATCGCCTTCGTTGTTCTCTTTCATTTGATGTATTTTTTTGTCACGTGTTAAACGAGATATATATATATATATATATATATATATATATATATATATATACTCGTATAAAACAATCCTAGAAATTGTGCGACGACAGGGGTTCATAGAAATAATACGTATTTAACGAAATAACTGTAATTTTACTTACATATGTATATATAAAATTATTTACAGACTGTTAAATATATCGATATAAAATACGCATCGCAAATGATCGGACAAATATATTCATAAATCATTTCATTATTGCTAATTTACCTTTTCTTTTTGCTTTTTTTCTTTTTCTCTTTTCAAATTCAAAATGAATGGATTTGTATGCGGCCACTATTGCTTTTTTTCTTTTACTTTTTTTTTTTATTTTTCTTTTCTTTTCTCTTTCAATTCCGTAACAAGATTTATAAACGAATCGACAAATGATACAAAACAAAACGATTAAATCTAACAAACGCGCGTATTACTATGAGAACTTAAAAGAAGAACTTAAAAGAGAAAAAAGAAAAAAAGAACGAAAAATGAAAATATAAAAAAGAAAAACGTTAATATCTAAGCGATATGTAATGATTTAGAGAAGAACGAGATATCTTTTTTTTTTTGCATCCTCAGCATACCTGCAATAGAAGGAGAGTACTGAAGTGTTCGCAAATGAAGCTCTGGATCTCCTTCAACGACGTAGTAGACGACATAATCTCCAATTTGTTTTTCATAAATACGAACATTATTCGGCAAGTAATCCTTAGATTCATCAGAATTTAACATTTTTGTATTTTTGCAATTCTTCCTTATCGAAAAAACGCAACACGATACGAAACGACGTTACATGGATTAAAACATTTCTTTTAATCTTATTTTTCTTCTTCTTTCTAATTATTATTATTTTCAAGAACTTAATTTTGTTTCGTTAACGAATCACACACTAATAATCACGCACAAAAAAAAAAGAAAAGAAAAAAGGAAAAGAGAAAAGTACAAAGAACACTTGAAATAATATTGAACAAATTCATTGAAGTTTATAACACTTACATCAACCTAACCTTTTTTTTTAATTTATCCATTTGAACTAACCTCGGAACCTATCAATGAAAATGAATTTTTTTGAATGCCGCTAATTAAATTTTCTTTCTTTCTTATTTTACTAATCAGGTAATGTTTCGCCGGAGAATATATAGGAATTTATTTGCGATAGAAACGACTGATGTGTATACACACCACACACACACACACATATATATATATATATATATACCACATAGATTAATATCGACGCGACAAGTCTACAGATAAAAAAAATCAAACAAAAGAAGGAAAAAATCTCGCGGCTAACTGTCACGTCGAAATAAAAATATGGTAAGTGTGTGTGTGTGTCTGTGTGTACATATTTATATATATATACACAATGCATTGAATATTACATATATACGTGTGTATATATATGTTATATTCAATGGATTAAAGATTCGTGTTTAAAAAATAAACGAACTTAGACAAATTCGTAGCCGATAGAAGAATATTTTGTTATGACAAGTTGACAGGGAGATTGATGATTTTGAGAAAAAAAAAAAAGAGAAAGAAAAAAAGAAAAAAAAATTATAAAGATTATTTCTATAATGGATATTAATGAAAATTTGATAAACGTGAAATAATTCAAACAAATTCAATGATCGTCGCGTAAAAAAAAAAATAAGCGGTCTTGTGAGACGACAACGAAGAGAAAGAAGAAATAAGAAAAAGGAAAAAGAAAGAAAGCGTTGAAACAAAAAAGAAAAGAATTTATAAACGCTAACCGTGAACACAAAAAAGGTAAAAAAAAGAAGAAAAAAGGAAAGAAAAAGGATCAATTAGGATAAAATTATACTCGACATCCTCAATCGTTGTCAAATACGATATCATTATACGATACTCGTTCGTAAGAGAAAAATAATTGTATAGTTTATAAATAAAATTATTTTTTTTCTCATAAGAGAAAAATAATTGTATAGTTTATACATCTCAATACGTTTTTTAATAACGCGGAATAATGGAGAGAAGATGGCAAAAGGGTGGGAGGAAAACTACACAAAAAGAGATCGAAAAAGGCTGAATTGTACCTGGCTGGCTCGATCATAATAAAAACGACGAACCACTTTCTACTTATATTCCCTTCCAGGAAAGTAAAAAAAGAAAAAAAGAAAAAAAAAAATAATAAAAGGAAAAAGAAAAATAAACGAGTAAGAACATTCGCGATATTCTCTTTTGCCCGCGCATATTCTTTAATTATTATTATTATTTTTTTTTCTTTTTTTATTTTCTTTCTATCTAAACGCGTTTAATAATGAAAAAAGATAAACTATTCTCGTAACTCGAACGTATAGAGGGAGGGAGAGAGAGAAAGACAGAGAGAGAGAGAGAGAGAGAGAGACAGAGAGAGAGAGAGAGAGAGAGAGAGAGACAGAGAGAGAGAGAGAGAGAGAGAGAGAGAGAGAGAGAGAGAGAGAGATGTGAGAAGTGAGATGCGTTAAAGCCTACTTCTCACGTGACGACTAGTCGAAGGACAATTTGATTCGTTGAAAAGAGAAACTTATCGTCTATTGGCTCTCTCACGAAATCGTATATAAAGCCGATAAAACTTGTTTCTTTGTATTTATCGTAAGATTTGTGTTAGATTAGATATAAGAAAGAAAATGTATTATGCTTTGCTTCCTCATACTTCTTCCTTATTATTTATTTCTTTATTCTTTTCTCTCTCTCTCTTTCAATCTCTCTCTCTCTCTCTCTCTCTCTCTCAATCTCTCTCTCTCTCTCTCTCTCTCTCTATCTTTCTCTCTTACACACACACTCTCTCTCTCTCTTTTTCTCTTTTCGAAGAAACATTTAAGGTTCGTACCGTATTCTCACTCTTTGATTTTTGAAGTCACATAATCGCGATTGTTAATAACGAAACAGGAATGAAAATGTTCGTGAATCGAAAGTCAACGTATGTAACAACGACGACGACGATAACGACACAACACGACACGACGACGACGACGCAACTATAATAACAATACACTCATGCGACTATCTCGAGCGTTCGCCAATGACTGACGTTCGTTACTCTTGAAGCGGCCATATTTAATATGTCACCACGTCATAGAAGGTGCGATGAGTTAATTTAGTGTATTATTCTTATTATTATTCTTATTATTATTATTATTATTATTATTATTATTATTATTATTATTATCATCATTAGTAATAGTAGTAGTAATAGTAGTAATTTATTTATTTCTTTTCTTCTTCTTCTTCTTAACGTCTTACAGATAAACATTTGCATTGCTTAGTATGACGAATTTGAGATGGTAAGGTTTATTAAGTCGTCGTACGAACATATCGTGTTTCTTTGTATCTGTGTATCTGTACGTACTACTGTTGATGATTATATGTAATACGATTATATGTAATAAGAATCGGATCAGAATTGAAATTATTCATAAGAATGCATTTGATATGGAAATATATATGTATGTGTGCGTGTGTGTGAATATATATATATATATATATATATATATATATATATATGCGTTTGTTTAACTACAAGCGTCATCAATTTTTTTTATTTTTATTTTTATCAAATGATTTAAGTTTTCTTTCATTCATATAATATCTATGATAAGAATATACATTATTTTATAAGAACGATCGAAAAAATATTAATTTCGTTTTAAAATCGACGGAATATACACACACACACAAACATATATATATATATATAAATTTTTGTTAGAATTGTCATGAAAACTTTAACACGTTTTTTTGTCTTTTTATTTTAGTTTCCATTTCTTTTTTCTATAAATGTTGCAAATAAAGTAAGAATATTAATTAGACAGAGCTTCCATATCACAGTTGAAATTTTTTATCAAAGTTAAGATTTATGTTCTCGTTTATATCGATGTCGCTTAGCGAAGGAACGATTTGAAAAAAAAGATTAATAGGAACATTTTTAAATTTAAAGTATAGACGTGTATTTATATACGTATGTACTAAGTATTGGTAATGTAAAGTGCTAACGTAAGAATGTATCATTAACGTTCCAACAAAATATAATTGTAAATGAGATTATCTAAATATTTTTATTTTCAAAAATAAAAGTTATATATGTATGTATATACGTATGTATGTATATACGTATGTATGCATATATATATATATATATATATATATATATATATATATATGCATATATACAGGATATACGTTCCTATGTACAAGAAAGATTAGTTAGTTTTAGTCGACTACAAAGTGTATGTAAACAATTTTTTTTTTTACTTGTGATCTTTTCGAGTTATAAAAGTTAACATATTTTTTTTCTTTACATTATTTTTCTTCATATTTATATAGTAATGATTATTTTCAATCAAAATCATATATATATATATATATATATATATATATATATATATGAATCATTCAAATATATTACTTATATAGTTTACAGATATATAAATTAATATAACATAACTTCAATAATATAAAATAATTCCAAGTATCAAAGTCATATATACTAAAAAAAAAATTGATAGTATGTGTCATTTATCAGATAATCGATATCTTAAGCGCAAAAAATAATTAGTATTTTATAGGTAACTTTGAGAAACAATCGTTGGACTACATAATATTTTGAAATCAATTATGTCGTACATGAACATTGACCTTGACAAAGACGTTCACTTGTATACTTGATTTGTAAATAATGTATTTCTATATAACACGGAGTAGGTATTACAGTGAAATATGAATTTGTTGATCATTCGTTAAGGTGCCAGTTATCTTGCAAATCGTACATAGTAAACAATTTTTTACTAGATATCAATTTGATATCAGCGTTTAATTACTGTTACATAAGTATGTAAAAAAGAAATTATAGATAAAAAAAACTATTAAAAAAAAAAAATAATAAAAAAGATAAAAAAAAATAAAAAAAATAAAAAAAAATAAAAAGAGAAATAAAAAAAAGTAAAAAAAAATTAAAAGGAAAATAAAATAACATGCACATTGTAGAGATGCCGATTTGGAGAGGTGCACATTTTGTTTTAATAAATTCTCATATAACCAATCGGTAACGTGATATTTGCTGACGGATATTTACAAATGGACACCCTATGTATGTATATATATATATATATATATATATATATATATATATATATATATATATATATATATATATATATATATATATATATATATATATATATACTTCAGGGTAAACATATAAAGTCGTATAAAGTAAGAATTCTTTTCTTTTTCTTTTATCTTTCTTTCTTTTTTTTTTTTTTTATTGGTCACATTCTCCATGATGATGTAATCTAATAAATGTAGACCTATTTAGAAATATAAAAGCCACTTTGTGCCGATTAGTCAATTATAGGTGTACCACGCCTACGTAATACGTCTAATTGGCGTTTGAGAAACAAAATTAAATATACGAATAACAAAATAAAAAAAAAATAAATTAATACATAAAATGACAATAAAAAATTAAATAAATAAAAAGAAAACGAACATAATCCTAAATACGACCTTAAAGATCTTAATAATTTTGTTTTCAATTAATTTGATTGCAATTATTCGATCGTAATTATTCGAATGTAAAGTCTTACGTTGAAATTGATGTATACATTTTTAGTGGGTTTAATAACTTCGATAAAATACGATTAAAAACGATCAAATTCAAACATCGAAAATTTGTTATCGTCGTGCGAATAATGTAATATAAGTACTTACATTTTCATTCAAGTTCGTTGCGTGATCGTTACAACTTACAATAAATTGAACAATACGTCCTAATTAAGCGTTTTTCGTTTCAGTAATAATTTGTATGACACATGCGCATGCCGCATTGAATGAACGGAATTTGTAACAATTATTTATTAAATGTCAATTATGTATTCTTCTCCTCGATCGTACGAATTTAATCTATTTATTTTATTATTGTATTTTATTATTATGTAATTTAATTTATTTTATTTTATTTTATTTTATTTTATTCTTTATAGAAATCTGATGAAACAGTATTTGCAATGATTTTTTGGATAAAGACAATGTTGATAAGTAAATATGTGTGAAAAATGTTACGTGTTTTTTAATAAAAATGAAAAATAAATAATACGTTTACTCTTTCATTATATATTATTTTTATACGTGGATTATTAATTATTATTATGTATATGTATTTTATGATTTTATGTAATCTATATATATGTAATATTTTAATAAATATAATTACTATTTTTATATAAACAATTATTATATTCAGATTATTATTATATATAATATTATTATTATAATATATATATATATATATATATATATATATATAAAGATTACCTATATATAAAAATAGTAAAATTTACATTATATATACATATATATATATATATATATATATATATATATACATATATATAAAATATATATTATCTATTATCTATACCTGTAGATAATTTATATACATGATACATATATAAAAATAGTAAAATAAATATTATATTATTTGTATACACATATATATACATAGATTATGCAAAAAATAGTATAATAGCAAAATATTTTCTTTCATTTAATTATTCATCTTTTTCATTCAAACTTTGTCATTAACTCAGAGATGATTAAATTAATAAAATTTTTCCGTGTAAAATCTAATGGTCTAAAATTTAACAAATTCGATATAAATCAAATCGTAAGAAACAAATCAAGATTCGAGTATACCTCAGCGATCGTTCTTTACGATTGATGAAAAACATTAGGTATTAGAAGATATATCTAACATTACGTTACTTTGACATCAAGTTATTATGGTAATCGTTTTCGATAATTAATTACTCGTTAAAATATGTCGACATTAGCGTCATATGTAACATTTCTATCGAATATATAACTTATCTTCTAATCTTATCTAATATTAGAAAGGATCATTGATGATCATTATTTTATTTTATTAAAATTAAACGTCGAATCATTATCGCATGTAAATGTAAAATAAATAAAAATTTCATTCGAATGATATTCAGATTTCTAAAAGATTTTGAAAATTTTCTTTTATGAAAACAAAAATCGAATAAAATTTTGATTGAATGCTTCTTTTTATATTATCAACGATACTTTTTCAAACGAGTTTAACGATGTTTCCTATACAACAATGATCGAATATTTTTATTTCTTTTTTTTTTTTTATATCAATCACGATCGATATAAAATGAATGAATTATAACGAATGATTTATATCAATTGTTTTTTGTGTAAAAAATTTCGTATAAAAGAACATTGTCTTGCACATAAAAGCACAAAATTCGCATTTATTTCTCCCATTTTTCTTTTTCTTTTTTTCTCAGTATAATATCAACGAACGTTTAACAATGTTTCAAGATAATGTCGGATAAAACCATGAACAATGAAGAATAAGTTGGCAAGGCTCAAAGAAACTTGGCCGATTTCGTAAATCTTTCGTTTTATTGGGTCAATTGCACGATTCTCGTCTATGCAAGTACACACACACACACATATATATGCATATATATATACATATATATATATAAATATATATAGATAGATAGATACGTGTTGCACTTACATACTTACGATTTCCTAAGCGTTTTTATGTGGTATAAATAATATAATTATATGAAAATAAAAATCGTATGAATATACGGGAGTGGATATAACGATCTATACACATTATATATATGTTGTATGTGTATAAATACAAACACACACACACACAAATCGTTTAATCAAATGGAATAATCGCGATATCCCGATAGAAAGGAGCATGGCGTCCGTGCTACTTTAAGAAAGTAAGTCAATGTAATTCGTTGGATTTGTAAGGTTGTATAGCCGTTAAATAGCCGTGATCTCGAGACCTTCGTTTTAGTCTTGATATCTCGTTACAAGGGCAACCTCTAATTCATTTTTTATTCGTTACCTTCTAATTCAACGCTGATGCTTCCGTCTTTTCATAGAGACATTTTAATGTGAAGTAATTTGAATACTATTTAAAACATATCGATTATCATATATTTCGATATTTTTGACTTAATTTTCGATTTTTAAAACCATTCAACTATAAAAAAATCCGATATATAGATTCTAAATATAGATATAGTTTTAGATATAAAAATTTAATATATATATATATATATATATATATGTATGTATGTGTATATATGGATATTTTTTTATATGTACATCTTCTTAATATATTAAAACAAATTTCACAATTTTACGTTCAAAAATATTTTTAAAATGCGAAATAAAACATTCTTTCGGTTTAATCGAATATTTAGTTTTTTTTTTTACAAAACACTCAGTATTTTTTGTTTGTTCGTTAATTAGATATTTTAATGGATTATCTTCTAAAAACTTATTGAATAAATATTGATCTGAAGTTAATAATTAACGAGTTAATTGATTTCGTTTTTTATAAACCGTGTCTCATATTAATAATGATGATATTAATAAATAAAATAAAGTGGGTTTATTTCTTTAGACGTTGTTTTAGTTTAATGATAAAAAATAATAATAATAATAATAATAATAATGAAGAAAGATTAATGAGGATAATTATTGTTTTGTTTAAAAATAATTTGAAAGAATTTGAATAAAATATACTCTAATTATTGTAATAGATTTTTTTTTTCTAAACTACAATGTTAAAGAGAAATATTTTAAATTTGAATAGATAAATAATTATCGATATTATATCAATTATTTATTAATTCATAGATAAGTAAATAAATTAATTATTAATTTAGTAGACAAAATTTTTGTTAAAAATATCGATATTTAATTATTGATCAAGTCATATTAAACAGTATCAAAATTAATGTAATAATAATATGATTCATGAATTGAATTAATGAACGAATAAAAAAAATTATTCATAAGTACGTTTAATTTTATTTTGAAGATTGATTTGATTTAAGATTGATCGATCGATACGTCAATCGATAGAAATTAAAATTAAAGTCTCACCTTTTGATAGCTTGTCGACGGATTCGAATCTTCCTTCGACCTTGTTCCTCAAAGTATCCAAATCGAATGGCGCTGTGAATCCGTGATCCACGCTACGGCTTTTACTCCTGTAAAGATTCCAACGACAAATATATTAGATAAGAATACTCATTTTAATTATTATAGAATTTATAAGAGATATTAACACAAATATATTGCCCCATATCGTCGTTGAAAGAAGCTTCGAACGTTGGAAGAAATATTTAAATGACTGATCAAAAACGTTCGTTTTTTTTTTGGTATTCTTTTTTTTTATTGCTTTTATCTTCTACACAGGAATCATTAGATATATAAACGACAATGAATATCTAGCTGTAAAACTAACATATAAGATGCAGTTTGACATGCACTATTTTTTATATGCTATGTATATATGCAAATACGTATATTTGTGTGACTATGTCTGTGTGTGATGTATAAATGCCGTCGTCATAGATAATAACAAGAAAAAGGAAAAATAATAATTTAAAAAATAAAAGAGACTCTAGAAAGGATTTCTTCTGTTTTCTTTAATTTTTAACAGAAAATTTCCATTTTAAAATTAAAGAGATCGATAATCAATCGTATAATTTATTCTCAATTAGGATTAGAAATGCGTAATTTATTAATTTAAAGAAAACATTTTTTATATGTTTCTTTTTTATTGTTTTCGATATAAATGATAATTAGCGAAAAAATTAAAAACACCAAAATGACTAGTGTGGAATTAAAAAAAGTTTTTTCAAAATTTTATATTTATGAGAAAAAAGAAAGGTAAAAGAAAAAGAAAGAAATCAATTCGTTTTCGAACGATGGCACGATGTTTCGCTCAATGGACAAAAATCCAAAATTGCAAGTATAAAATTTGAAATATCTTTAGATCGTAGAAATATTAATAACGAAAAGTAAATAATTCGTAATATTATTTATTTATAATTTTTATGAAATATATTAATCTGTTGTTTAAATTGAAGCGTATAATTTAATGCAATAATTGATGTATTTTTTTCAATATAATTTTATTGAACATAATTTTAATTTCATAAAATATAATTTTTAAAATATATAATAGAACATATTTTCAATATAATTTTATAGAATATAGTTTCAATATGAATTCTTTTAATTATTTTTTATTTTTTTTATTTTTTTTATTTTTTTTTAATATAAAATTTGTATAAACTTGGAAGTGTCATTTAAAACAAAAAAGTATTAAAAAATATTCATGATTATTTTTCTTTTCTTTTTTTTAATACTAATGTTGAATACATCGAATTATTTGTTAATGTCAAATTTATTTGTCCGAATTTCCATTTTTTTGTCGTTTTGATAATTTTATTTTAATATTTTTCTTTCATTCTTTTTTCTTTTTCTTTTTTTCTTTTTGATGTAACAAATAAACGTAACTTCTTTCATGTTTTGACATTTGCGAACTACGCAATATATAATTAATTATGAAAATAAATAAATAAATAAATAAATAAATAAATAAATAAATAAATAAATAAATAAATAAATAAATAAATAAATAAATAAACGAACGAATTGTACTGCTTTTTTTTTGGTTACGAATATCTATTAATGCGAAACACTATGGATCGATGAAAGCTCTTGTTACGATGTTACATACGTACCTGGTGTAAGTCCCTATAAGACTCTCCGTAGATCTCGAATGTGTGACATCTTGGGACATTCGCCTGGACCTAATGTGTAACAAACAATCCAAAACAAGGCCAATAAGAATACATGCAGTCTACATGCAGTGGAGCTTAAAAAATGATAAGATTAAAAATGATTGAGCAAAAATTGAGAAAAGAGAGAAAAGGAAATAAACGAAAGTAAAAATAAGAAAAAAAAACAGTTGAAATAAAAATAAGTTTACGAAAAGAAAAGAAAAGAAAAAAGAAAATGAATATAAAAATGAGAAAAAGAACAAAAATAATGATGAAAAACAATATTTTATTCGAAGAATCGATCCCTTTTCTTTTTTTTCTTTTTTTTATTAAATAATAATAATAATTTATAATAATAACAAAATATATATATATATATACAGTTTCTTTTATTAATAATAATTATAATATCAATAATAATAACAATGGGAAGAACAATTTTTTCACAAATCATGTAAAAGACATTACACAAATATGGACTATGGTTCTCTGAAGCGAGAAAGCATTAGAAATAAAAAAAAAAAAAAATAAATGAAAAAGAAAAAGAATAAAAAACAAAAATTCAAAAATAACAATAAACATTTCAAAAAACACAAAGGCGTAGGCTTCAAAAAGCGTGCGGCGTTCTTAAAATCGTTATTACGCAAAGAACAATCGATATGCAAAATAAAATTTTGCAGGTGGCGCGGGTATGAGGAAGGCGAGAAAAGAAAAAAAAGCATGTTTTAAAAAATTATCAAATAAATTATCCGTATTTCTGTTATTTTTTTCTTTTTTTTTTTGTTTCGTAAACAATAACTTCGTAACTTTTCTATTCCTTTTTATTTCTTTTCCTCTCCTTTTTTTTTTTGAAATAACATAGAGAAAATATCTAAATTATTGCGTAATAATATTATATTATTATAAGTTTGGTCATACGTATCCAATATAATTATTTTCGAATAAATAAAAATATATTTTACGAGTAAAATTACTGCGAATAAATAAAACAAATAAATAAACAAATAAAATAATATCATGTAATATTTTTTCTCATCAACGTTTTATTTATTACATACTTTCGTCGGATAAATATTGCAAATATGTCATTTTTTAGGTTTTTTTCTTTTTGTTGATTTCGTTTCTTTTCTTTTCTTTTCTTTTTTTTTTTCTTTATTCTTCTCTTTTAACGGTTGAACGCAACGAAACGTTTCTTTCGGCAGATTAATTATCTTCCGGTAGGAAGTGAAAAGCGTTTACCGTGAATGCATTCTCCAACATTCACCCCACCTTAACCATCATCACAACAACTCCCACTCCCACTCGTTCAACTCCATTTTCATCATCGCGCTTTTGTTTGCCACATCGAATGTGTCAGGGAGAATTTACGATTCTCGAAAGATAATTCATCATTTTTTTTCTTTCACCTCCTTCCGCCCCCTGACCCCCCTCCCCCATAAAATCGAACATTTAACAAAAACATTGAAAATCTTTTAATCTATCATATCTTACTAATTCTTTTGTTCTAAACAGAATGTTTATAATATATTAGAAATAGAATATGATGGCGTATAAAGAATCTATTAAAGATTTTAATCGTAGTTGCGAACAAAGTGACGATAGATTCGAAATAACCATTATAATTAAGAATAATAATCCTATGAAGTTTTCTAATGAAAAAATTATTTCAAAAAATTGTTTTACACAGATTGTTACATACAAGCTTATTCGAAATACGATATTATAAAAGTTAACAGTCCTATCCAGATCTATTTGAATACAATCCTTGACTCTTTAAACGTGCACGCGTATTAATTGTAACATATTAAATTTTCCAATCAATATGCGATAATTAATTGTACCCATTGTACGTAATAATTATAACACATGAAAATAAAGGAATATAAAAAAAGAAAAAAACTTTAACTGTCCCTTTAATTAATTCATTATATGGGGTTGATCAATATAATTGATATAGGAATTTTCAATTAAAAAAAAAAAAAAAAAAAAATACTAGTATTATTTATTTACATCTGAAATATTAGAAAATATTTCACTGAACAAATTTCTTTCTATAGCGTTGATTTTATTTAGTTTTATTTAGATATAAAATACTCCATATTTTCAATAAAGAATATTCTATACTGTTATTTATTTATTAACTTTATACATTCATTCATTTATTCATTCGTTCATACATGCATACATATTATATATACGCATGTACATATACATACATAGATGTATGCACATATCATCTATAACGTTGCACTTTCTCTAGCGATTGTGTGATAACTCTATTGAAATGTTAACAATATTGCAACGACCAATTCAAAGAACTATAATTGTATGTATTTCATGTGACAATTAGAAAACAAAAAATAATAATAATAATAATAAAAAAAAAAAAAAAAGAAAAAAGAAATTAATTGTTCCTTTAGAAAATATGATGTATAAGTTGATCAATACAAGTGATGTAGTCAGAATTTTACTAGTATTGTTCATTTAGATATAAAATATTAGAGAATGTTCCACTAAACAAAATTTTTTCTATAACCTTATTTTTATTCATAGATATAAAATACTAAAGATATAAAACATTAAAAATAAACAATTTAAAAATTGTGCGATTATATTTATTGTTCAATAAAATGAAGTCATAGAAATTTATTTTTCTATCGTTTTATAAAAATCTTTACATTGCGTATAAAACAGTTATCGCTGTCGGTAAGGGGAAAAAAAAAGAAAATAAAGTAAATTACAGAATTCGTTCTTACCGATTCGAACAATAGATAAATAAGGAGAGAATGTTAAAAGAGGAAAACATTAAAAAGTGTTAGTCAAGCTAATTGAAACGGAATAAGTTTACATTTTTATGCTTGAAAGGACGAATGAGAACTCGAAAATCTTTAAGAGATGTGTGTTACGTAGATAAAAATAGGTAAACGATTGGCAATTTGCCATTACTATGAGTAACCTGTTCGTGCAGCACGAGACTTTCGAAATCGCATAAACGCACATACGCGTAATACATAAATATATATATATATATATATATATATATATATATAATACATAGATACTATATGTATGTATGTATCTATGTATGTATGTATATATGTATGTATGTATGTATGTTGTATGCATTTATGTACATATTTATGAAGAGAGGAAATGACTACCGTGAAGATGTTTCCCTCGATTAAAGTAACTAAGAAGTTCTTTGTGCATCCAAGCAAAACAGGTGCTTGGTTTACTCTTATATATGAAAGATTATTTCTAACTAAATTAATTCATTATTTATAACGACATTGATATTTCGTCAGTTTCGTATCATTCGATATACGACTTCGTTCTTATAAATGTATTTTTGTTATCCTTTTCTTTTTTCTTTTTTATTTTATTTCTAGTTCATTTTTATTTCATTTTATTTTATTTTATTTCTTTTATTTTTTGATAATTATATTCCTTATCAGAACCGAGAGTACGATTTCATTGGAAGGTCGAATTCACCGCGTTTCAATTTCACTCGAATCAAATCAATTTCGATTCGAATTAACAAGATATTCCATGGATTTTTTTTCGATTTAAACTTTTTCTTCTTCTTCTTCTTTTTTTTTTTTTTTTTTTTTAATTTTTCATTTCAACATATACCAATCGTTTGTAGTATAGCGAGAATAATAAAATAATAAAATATCGACGATAGAAATGAATAAAATTTTCATACATATACATAGTTGTATGTACATATCAGTGTATATGTCGATACATATATACGTATTGATACAAATTTTGCTTGTTATACTATAATAATCAATAAAAAAAAAAAATAAATAAATAACATGTATATGTAATATATAATATAAATAACATGTATATGTATAATGTAAAATAAGTAACATGTATGTATATATATATATATATATATATATATATATATATATATATATATATACACATGTTATTTATTTATTTATTTTTATTTTTATTTTTATTTTTATTTCATATATCTATATATACGTACATACATACATACATACAGAATTTTCGATTTAAATCAATCCCTATCGAATATATGTGAAACAAAAAAAAAAAAAAAGAAAAGAAGAAAAAAAAAGAAAAAAGGAAAGAAAAAAGAGATACGTTGGGAAATAAAAGTTGAATGGTTTCGACGTGCACGTAACACGAAATAAATTCTTTTTTTTTTTATTCTTTCTTCTTTTTTTTTTTTCTCTCTTTCGATCAACGTATAGAAGATATCAAGGTCAATTTTATTTTACCAAATTAATTCATATATATTTTTTGATTGGGTCGTCATTACGTTTTTAATAATACCTATATACAATACACATGTACAATGTTAATGCATATACCACGAGATGTACATTCGTATATATATAAAAAAAAAAGTTTCCATAATTCGACGAACGAGATTAAAATTCGATTTATAAGATAAAATATCGATTCGATTCGTGTCCTCGTAGATAATTGAATTTTAATTGATCGCCGTTAAAACGCGAATACCTGCACAATTCGTTTACTTTGTTCGAAAATTCAAGGGATAAAATGAAATACATTTTAGATTGCAAATGACGATCGCTAATTAATTAATTAATTAAATAATTAATTAATTACTTTCGTAACACTAAGATCGCACAATTTACAATTCGAAAGAGGAAATCCTACGGTGTACTGTTAAGAACTTTTTATTATGGCCGATCGATCGATTCTCAGCCAAGTTATGTGTCTTGTAATTAAAGCTGCACCGCGAAGAGAATAATCGTTTCTTTCGTTAGTTAGAAAAGAAAACTGGAGAAAGTAATATAAATTACTATGTCGTAATTACGTAGAACCAGATGATTTTATAAAAATGAAATTTCTTTCTCTCTTTTTTCTCTAAAGAAAAAAGAAAAAAAAAAATGAAAAAATGAATTGGGTTTAATCAAAAGATTAAATAACAATGCGCAGGTACTTATCCGTTACGGTGATTTGTATTTTGTAATTGTCTTTTTTCAAACGATTTTTTAAAAATAAATATTATCGAATCAACG